CCGCAGATCCCATTCGCGTTCTACAAGTCTTACGGGTTCCCTTTTAAGTCTATTAAGTCCTTCGAGTTATACTCCTACGCTCGGGAGATCAAGAGCCCCTTCCCTCAGTTCACAAAGTGATACGTCTCCTACAAATGTTGGTTTGGGATTGAGTGTTGGAGCAGCGAATCCTGTGGAAGAAGGGGAAGAGGAGATGCCGCTCCCTGTATTCGAAGTACAACCTGCCATGCTAGCTGTCGATCTCGCCTTGAGTCCTGGAGAAAGTAGGACTTGTGAGTTGCCTTACCTCTTCTTTGTACAATCACGCTGACACACAATAGATACATACACCCTTCCCCTACCCTCCTCCCTCCCTCCTACATTCAAGGGCCGCATGATCCGCTTCTCATACGAACTTATAGTTGGTACGTGCCGGAGAGGCGATAGCGGTGAAGCTCCTTCTACCGGTGTGACAGTGAGCAGGGTAATGAAAGTCCCTATCAGGGTGTATAATTGGGTCAGCGGTGAGTCTGTCGTTTTCCTTATTTCAACCTGACGCCAACCAATCAATGCAGTCAGCAGACCACAAAGCCCCTACGACCTCCTCCTCCCCGTGCGTAAACACGACGGCGGAAAAGTTATCGAGCTAGGCAGCGCATGTGGAGATACAAAGAAAGACTCGTCCTCTTCCTCGTCGAAACACTGTGCGTCTTCTTATCTTCCATGCATCATATAATTAAATGGGAGATAGCACTGACTACGTCACCTTGTGGCTCCCTTGACGACCTCCGCGCCTACGGGGAGAGGCTACTCGAGACCTTCCCTGCGGAGGGGTCGACGGGTGTGAGGATTAAGGAGCCTGCCGAGAGCGTGCCTGAAAGTGTACCTTCCTCCTCCTCTGGGCTTGCTTCTGGGAGTGGGAGTCAAGCAACTTCGGATCCTCTCAGAGCATTCGCAAGAGGACGCGAAACAGAGATGGAGGGAGGAGAGGGAGAACTGACAGGATGTCGAGAAGCTGTCGAGATCTTAACCCGGAATCCCAAAAAAGGCACGTCCAGCGTGTGATTCGCTCTATGCGAACTACTAACGCCTCGCCAGTCTCATACGACGTGACAAAAGATGGCGTCAAAGTGGCTATTCTTACATTCACAAAGAGCGCGTATAGGCTTGGGGAGACTGTTTTGGGCATTGTGGAGATTAATGAGCGGGAGGGACGGGGGAAGGTAATTTCGGTGAGTAGTTTGTTCCTGGCTGGTCTTGATCGCGTCGTTCTTTTCTCAATTTCGAGTGCTGTATTGGCTTATCATTCTCGGTTTTTTTGACAGCTAAGTGCAACGCTAGAAACGAACGAAAGCCTCCCAGCCTCCCTAGGAACAAACACGAGTACAAGTACTACACGCCGCGTTCACGCCGAACACCACGCCTCGTTCACAGGCAGTACCCTTCGCACCACATTCGCACTTGATATACCCAGCGACGCATCTCCCACATTCGGAATCGTGCTCTCATCACCTCCCTTGCTTGGGAACGGTCATATCAATGGATCCCTGTCTGGGAACGGAACCGTGGCTGGGGCTGGACCTGGGAAGATAGGGGGGTTGACGTGGAAAGTACACCTGACGCTACTAGTAGGCGTTACAGCGCCGAACGCACGGGTGCGTGGGTTGACGAGGGATGGTGCGCCTACTTCGTGGGGAAGTGCATGGCGTGCGCCCGTTGGGATCGCTCCGGAACAGCAAGAGGTGCCTGGGAGCGGTGCGAAAGAAGTCGGCAAACAAGCACAGCAGCAGAGCTGGACTTCGTACCTCATGAGTTCGTTCCTCGGGACTGGGGAGAAAGAGTATCATGATGGGGATGACATTAATGATGATGATGAAGAGGTTCCTGCTCAGAAGGAGGAAGGGGAGCAGGAGGAGGGTGATTGGAGAGATGTGCAGGTTGAGATCGTAGAGTGTGAAGTGCCAGTGGTGGTTTGGCCTGGTAACACAGCGTTCAGCGCTGTTGACGTTGTGTTCGAGGTGTGACCTAGGTATGATCGAGATCCGTGATCTAGATTCCGCGGAAGGATCCGTATGCCCCACACATCGGCGGATATTTATCGAAAGGTTTTTTTTTGTTTGTATGTATGATATTATTTTAATTAAAAAATGGTGGTGAGCTCGTGACGGAACCCAAGCCTTCCCTTGTAACTTGAACTCGGTTTTTGTGTTTAGAGCATACTAGAGAGCTAGGTGAGTGAGTTTCAGTGATTATCATAGAGATTTAGTTAAATGGAAGGACGTAGTGATAGAAACTAATAATTAGTGAAAGTCCCCGTCAGCCAGCTGTCGTACGAACTCGCCAGCTAGCTGCTCTCGCCACCGCCAGCTGTCATGCAACATCTGCCTGAAAACGACGACTTTAATCGTAGGCATCGTTTCCTTGACCCAGACCCAAATAATTCTGGCAGGGAACGAGCGACAAGTCAACCGCCAAGGGCAAACCTCACAAGTCTACGCAATCAAAACTCTCCTTCATCTCCCTCGTCCTCATCATCTCCCTGGTCACCACGTATCCTTCAACAACCAACCAGGACATCGACAACAGGTCTCCCAATGAGCGTACCAACCCGTAGCTCCTCTTTCTCAAACCCCCAATCAAACTATAGTTCCGCACTCCGCGAATCCCACTTCGAGTCTACCTTCGAAGACGACGAATCTGAAGCACTCTCAGATACCTATGACCATCATGATGACGAACTCTACCTACCCACTTCATCCCGTGGCCGTTCCTATGCCCCCGATCTTACCCGCAGCCGCTCTCAAAGCCTCGCTACCACCACAACCCGTCCCACCTCAATTCAATCCCCGTATCAGCATTCACACCTCTGGCCAGACTCGGCTCACAACTCAAACCCGCTCAATATTCCATCTGCTAGGTACGGAGAGATTAAACCACCCGCGTCTAGTCGCTACGGGAGCCTCGGCGCCATGGGCAGGTCCCCGCTCGCCGATAACGGCTATCCGAACAGGAACACCATCGACGTCTCCAATATGAGCCCTTTCGTTCGTGATGTCGGCCAGATCCTCCTAGACGACGGCTCTGCATTCCGAGAACTTTGGGCAGGTATGAATCCTCCAAAAGATGAGAACGGCGGTGGTGGAAGTGGCACTACTAGTCGGAGACACAGCGTTAGTGTCGTTCAGCCCCGCAGGCCTACTATCGTCGGCTTTAATGCGCCTGAAAGCCCCGGTGACGAAACCCATGGTCATGGTCGTGCTGGCGTATTTAATGCACAGCCATTTGGAGGGAGAGGCGGTCTTATGCTTTCGGATGATGATCTAGCTGCTGATCTCGGTATGCTGAGCATGAAAGAGCCCGGTGCGCCGTCCAGCTCATCAACCACGAGCCAACCGTCCTCCCTCCCCATCTACCCACGCAGCCCACCCTCTGCAGACCGCGTATCCCCCTATCACCTCAACATCCCATCCGGCACGAGCTTTACATCCCGCCAACAATTCGGGTCTCCAAGCGAGAGCGCACTTTCCACAGGTGCAAGTCCCCCTCGAGGGCATTTTGACCAGCAGATTTTGGAGGCGCAGTATGGCCAGCAGCAGCTTACGGCCCGGTTTATCCCAGGGCAGGGCATCCAGTACCTTCCTATGCAGAACAATGGCGCTGGGTTCGCACGCCAAGGCCCGCTCTCGCCCACTACTACCTCCCGCCCCATCCAACCCCAACAAGGCCCGTACTACCATCAAATGCAACGGCGCCCCTCCGACGCCAGTCAAACCCAGCAAACACCCTTGAGCGATTTAGGCAAGGGTCTCCCTTTAAGCAGCGTCCCAGCCTCCTGGCCGCTCTTCATCGTCGAATTCAAAGCGGGGCGTACGGACCTCTTCTATCTCACTGATTTAAGCCAAGATATCAGGGTTGGGGATTTGGTGATCGTCGAAGCGGATAGAGGGAAGGATTTGGGCAAGGTTGTTAATGATAGTATTACGCTTAAAGAGGTGGAGGCGTTTCAGAGGGAGGTTAGGGAGAGGGAGGCGGGGGAGGCGATGAGTCCTGGAGGTGCGGCAGCGACGGGGAAGAAGGATATTAATCCGAAGATGATTTATGGGAAGGCGCAGGCTAGCGATACTCAGTACGTGTTTCTTTTGCCTAGTCTTTAGGCAGGATACTGATGGGGCGACAGACATTTAGTGACGAAGATGCAAGACGAAGTTAAAGCGCTGCAATTGTGTCAGAGTAAAGTTCGGCAGAAGAAACTTCCTATGGAGGTTATCGATGCGGAGTATCAGTGGTGTGTGCTGTTTGGCGTTCAGAGGACACAAGAGGACTGACACACTGCAGGGACCGACGTAAACTCACGTTCTACTTTATCGCTGAAAAACGAATTGATTTTCGGGAGCTTGTCCGGGAGTTATTCCGGTGTGTCTTTGTTTCCCTGCTACGTGCTGCACCTACGTCTACGTCTTGCCTGCTATGCATATGTTTACTCGCTCGCCTGCTAACGAATTATCTACAGGTTGTATAAAACAAGGATCTGGATGGCCTCTTTACAAGGCCCAGGAGGGTACGAGCAGTAATTGCTCCCCTCACATCTATACAAGTAACGACGGAAGAGGAACAGAAGAGCAGGATGGAATCCAATCCCAAGCACACCACGCAAACGCAAACTATTACGATCACATGACACCAGCCAATCTCACGAAATGTATGTATCTATGTATGATCTAGATATGCAATATCCACAGTCTTCGTCGCACATCTAGAACCTTTTTTTTGGTTCTTTCATTTGTTTCATGCTCAAGTTCAAGTTCAAGCTATTTATGGAACCATGTTCGTTCATGTTCATGTTCTGGGTTTCACTTTTGTATCGTATTTTGCCGTGTACGTTAGTGTAGAGGTTTTTTCTACCTTTTGGTGGGGTTTGTTTGGAGGGGAGCAGGGGGATGGAGATGAGAAATGGCCCTGACGCCTTGTATTAGTATCGTATATCAATCCAAAATATATATTGTGGTGCTTTTTTACGTGCATGGAGGCGGAAATCTTCAATGAAAATGAAAATGTATACAATGCGTCCGTATGTTGATACAGGGGTAGTCTAATGTGGGGTCGGGACCGAGATCACTATAAGGATCCAATAAGAGCGTTCATAATTGCAATCATGATCGCACAATCAAGGATGTTGAGCCGTTAACTTGAGGTTGATTCGCTGCTAACTCAAAGGACGGACCAGCCAGTATCTAACTCGCAGGCAACTCATTCGCTTTTCGCTCAGCAGTGACTACAAATTGCAAATGTAACGCGTCAGCCAGACTTGGCGATATAGGCACAAGATAAATACGCACCCCAAGCACGTCGATCCATAGGACACTGCTGTTTCGAAGCAGCCGTTCCTAGCCATTTGAGCAAACAGTGCATGTGGAATACGTGACTGCATTCGCCCCAGACTGTTGTGACAGAGAATTAAGATTGGTGGGTGGTCGTTACTTTGCGCGAGAAAAGGTGGAAGGGGAACGTGACGAACGGAAGAAATGCGCGAGGCACGACAAGCGCACAAAGGAGCGAAACGAACTCACTCAAAGGACAGTCATCTCCTGGCGTTTTACACGACGGACAGCACCCCTCATACGGGACGCGACAGATCCCACAGACGTCGCCTTCGTCGTCTTGATCGTGGTTTGTGTTTCCTGTGTTCCAGCGCCATTGAGCGACTGCGCTCCAGTGTTTGATGTGGACTTTCATGGACTGGTATGCGTTTGTGTGGAGTATGCAGGAGCGTCCGAGGAGGAGGGTTTGAGGTTATTTGGTATTGTGTACGCGTCGTGGGTATGTTAATAAGTCTATTATTAATATGTACTTGACAACCTGAACGACTCATCGCACATATACACGCTCGAACTTGAACGTTTGAACGTTGAACCCCAGGACTTGGTGCGCTGATCTTGGAGCTGATCCTCACGCATACTCTACACATTCCGGGCTTCAGATCCACGAGCATCTAGAGGACTTTATATGGGGGAGAATTGGACAACTGGTCCTCGTCGGATGTTGATTATGGTGTTCTCTGATCAGGGTCAGCATTCCTGAAGGCACGGGTCGCATAATTTATTTACACAGTATTGGTGCTCGAGGTTATATCTCTCGCTCTAACATAACTTGTATTAACTAATCGTGTGCTAGCAAGCTTCATGATCGGTCTCAAGGATGGAACGTTCAGCTGTAGCTTCCTGAAGCAAGATATGGAAGTTGTGATTCCATCTGCTGATACTCCTGAAGGCATTGGCAATTACTGCGGGTCTCATGTCGATACTGGTCTCCACCTGCCTCGGAAACAGTGGATTACAGCTTTGTCCTTATTTTTTGCGGTTCGTTCAGCCTCAGAACTTTGCTGTAGCACATTCATAAAATGTTACATAGCCCCACCCAGAAGTTCGGACGTCGGTGGAAGACCTGTTGGGATCCTGAATACAATTCTTATTACTCAGCATCCGATATGTGCGTGAACAGTGATGCATGATGAGGCGTCCGTGCAAGATTCTTTTGTAGTTCAGCGCTAGCAACGCGTTCGCAACACGGAACCTCAGTGTGCACTAGTCCCCCTTAACAGATTATAGACGAATGAAGACATTGTTTCTCTTAACTCCGAGTGTGCACGTTCATTCATTATTTTTGACATGTCTAAATTGTTATTACAGTAGATATGTTCATATTGCATATCGTAACATTGCATATATGTCGTAATGCATGGACTTTTGAGGATCCCGACGCGGGCAGGTTGAAAATGCAGACATAATGCATAACACATAATGCATTGCTATTGCATGAATGATATGCATTATTAGAGGGTCATAATTAGGGCAATGGAACATAAGTAGCACCCAAACCATTGTTCTCCAGCATCGTCCTGCTCAGCTATGTAAGCGTGGAATGGATATGATGTCCCATATTCATAAATATGTCCCTAAACCTGAAATACAAGCCTTTGGATGACGAGTCAGCAGAAGGATGGGCCATTGTTCACATGCACGGAACTCCTCAATTTGTGTCAGCATCTTGCATGCAACACGGTGGTCCTCAGTTTTCCCTGAATTTGTCTTCACAGCTCCGTTTATTCGTGCTTAATTACAACGAGAGGAGCTACTTAATGCAAAGCAGATTTCCATAGATTGTTACTTCGAAGTATAATACATGTAGGTGTTGTGGATACTGTACCGTGTCACAATTTTGGCAGATGTCACAAGTGTCACATGGATGTGACATATGTGGTCGTGCATATGTGTCAAAATGCATCAAGTTTTTGCCGCCCCAACGGTATGCATTATGAGCATATCTACTGTACCAGAAATGTCCTCTTCAACAGCCTCGACTAGTGCTTGAATAGAGAGTCGGTTGTCAATACATTGAATCCATGCTTGGACCTCTAGTGGCTGGCATATACTGTTGGAAGTACAACTTTGACGCATTCCTTCTTCCAAGAGGTGTGGGATCGAGTAGTTCAAGACACTAACCTGTCGTAACTTGGGTACCCCCTACGCCTACCATGACAGCGTTACTGATCATGTAATTTAGCCATATTAGGTAGTCATTCGTGGTACAATGTCAAGTCAAAATGAATCAATTCAACTATCGCAAAGCAAATTTCAAAACAGACAGCTGCAGTGTGAAAACGAGTACATATGTAACTGGAATAGGTTTGTAAAGTAAGAAATCAAGTGCTGAGTACAGAAACAACAGTTCCAATGGTCGTTTGGGCCTTCTTTGATGGACAGGATGGATGGTGACCAGCTTGTGCTCCAGCATGTTTGGATCCATGAGAAACCAACAGAGGCACATTCTCCTTGCTGATTTTGCCCAGAGGAATGTAGGAAGGTTGCCAATGAGTCTTTGGGATGCACGAAGCAGTCTGCTCCAGGTCCGTGAGCCTCATCTCCTTCCAAATGCTTGCTGGCAACAGTACACTGATGTCTCTTGCAAGTGATCGTCTGAGTGTAATGGTACTTGAAAATCTACAGTTGGTGTCTGTGAGTGTCCGTGAGAATGATAATCTGATCCAAAATGCATGGTTTGATAAGAATTGTCCTCAAGGTCCGTAATGTATGCAGTGCTGTTGTTGTTATTACTAGTGGAAGCAAACCATGAGTTGTAATGGGTATATTGATGAGTCATAGAATACATAATGAATGAGGTGTAAGGAGAGAGAGATGCAAGTCGTTGATGAGATGTGTTGAATTGATATTGACGCATCATATTAATTAGTCACGTGTTCTCAAAAATCACATCCAAGATCTCACATTCAGCAGGTACCATCTTTACATGCTCGTGTTTCATTAAAAAAATTATCTAGATCTATTCTACAGTAGTAAAAACACCCCCTTTACGGTACTCGCCAAACAATTTTATGATGATTTGAGGCTGCTGGTGAGGAACTCAAAACCTGCGACCAAACCGACCAATGCCAACCCTGTTATTCCAGCCACATCATCATCGACAACCCTGGCCCTGCAATACCAATATGCATTCCTGTTAGAAGACAAGGACATGGAGAAACACGTTATGGACAGAATCCTCGACACAGACATTAACATTCCTATCTGGGACCTTATTACATCATCATCAGACATTCGGAAAGCATTGAAAGATCTCACAATGTCCAAATGAGTCATGGTCGGTACGGTTTCGGTAAATGAACTCAGCGGTCACCCCCAGATGGAGCAATTCCTGAAGGGATGGGACGAACATATGAAAAGAGCTAATGACGGACACATTGTTGCTGACCATTTTAAGTTGTTATGAACCATCCGAGGCACTACGACCGGAGGTCAGGTACTTACCTGTGTCCTCGATCAAGGTGCTGAGGTGATAGTAATGCCGCAATCGGTATGGCGTAGTCTCAGAGGAGTTCCGCTTCGTTCGGATTACCAGATGACCATGGAATCGGTCAACATGTCATCAGACCAGACACTCGGAGTCATGGAAAACTTCCCGATTGACTTCGGAACCAGAGACATGCTGTTCCAAGTCCAGATTATTCCGGTTGCTGCTTTTGACGTTCTTTTAGGCAGACCATTTTTCACGCTGACAAGTTGCAAGATGGCCGATTTTCCAAACGGAGACCAGGATATCAATGCTGACAGATCCGAACAACGGGAAGATCATCTGGATTCCAATGGAACCCTGGATGAAAAAGTGCCCAAAGTGTAAGCATGGTATGTTGTGTACAGACCACCTGATGCCAAGGGGTTTTTGATGACCAATGATCCACACCCACGGGGAGATCTATGGACTATTGATATTTCTAATTCTCTGTTTTGTATATATCCCAATACTAACTGTCTCACGCAACCCGCGCAATCTGTGCTCTCATGGAGCACTGATACCCTATCTGTTCCTTCTATCACGCAACCCCTGTCGCACCATGATTATCTCGTATCCATGCATTCCTGCATTAATCCTGCATCTATCGACACATTTCACAGTGTAGATTCTTTCGATCAAGCCAAGCACGCACTGGTTTACAAACCAGTCACGAAGAAAGTCCACACCGTACCTACAACTATGCCTCCGGAATTCTGGATCATGAGAAGATTACCCGACGATCCTTTGGCCGGCATGCCTTCATTGCCAACCCATCTGCCCGACTCTGTTCCGGGCATCCACTTCACGCAAGAAAGATTGGACAAGTTAGATTTGGATCCTGCAAAGTGGTTATGGCCGGAAGAACTTAAGCTCGTATGCTGGCTAGTCTTGGCACATGAAAAAGCTTTTGCTTGGGACGTGAGTGAACGCGGACGTCTCAACGAGGTCTATTTTCTGCCAGTCAAGATTCCGACGATTCCGCATGTTCCTTGGTCCCAAAGGAACATCCCTATCCCTCCAGCAATTACAAATGAAGTCATCCACATCATATGGGAAAAGATCGACACCGGAGTCTATGAACCTTCCACCGCCGCATACCGTTCGCGATGGTTTTGTGTCGTCAAGAAAGACAAGACCTCCCTCCGTTTAGTTCACAACTTGCAGCTGCTCAATAAGGTAACAATACATGACACTTCCATCCTGCCTTTCATTGATCATCTCGCCGCAGCTTTCGCATGCTATGCATGTTACTCAATTTTGGATTTGCTTTCAGGATATGACCAGTGGTCATTTCACGTAGACTCGTGGAATATGACAATGTTCGGAACTCTGCTCGGACCTCATCAGTTAACCACGCTTCCGCAGGGACACGCTAACGCGGTTCAAGTATACCAAGGTGATATGGCTTTCATTCTGCAAGATGAGATTCCAAACTTCACTTATCCATTCATTGACGATGTTCCAATTAAATCAGTGAAAACTTGGTATCAGAAAGCTGACAGCTCATATGAGACCATTCCAGAAAATCCAGGCATCCACCAGTTCATATGGGAGCATTGCACAGTAGTCAACTGCATACTCCAGCGACTGGAAAATGTTGGCATAACTGTATCCGCTACTAATTTCATTTTAGCTGCACTGACAGCTATCATAGTCGGACACAAGTGTGCACTTGAAGGACAAATACCCGAAGAATCTAAAGTGCAAAAGATCTGAGATTGGCCAGAGTGTCGCAATGTCACACATGTGTGGGGCTTCCTTGGGACCTGCGGAGTCTTACACATCTTTATCAAGAAATTTTCCAAGATCGAGTGACTGCTTGTCAACCTCACACGGAAGAATGCACCCTTTGTATGGGGTCCAGAACAGCAAGAATCAATGCGGACCCTGAACGACTCCATATTAGAGTCCCCCACACTCTGTCCGATTGATTACGAATGCGGCCGCGAAGTCATTCTCATGGTTGACACATCTAATATTGCAGTTGGGTATATTCTTTTGCAGGTTGGAGAAGACGGAAAATGCTACCCGGACCATTTCGGATCTATGGCACTTATGGAAGTTGAAAGCAGGTATTCACAAGCGAAGCTGGAGCTATATGGTTTGTTCTGCGCTCTCCGCGCAGTCCGAGTTTTATTTTTGGAGTCACCAACCTTACGGTTGAGGTCGACACCAAGTATATTAAGGGGATAATCAATAACCCCAATCTCCAACCGAATATGATGATCAACCGATGGATTGCTGGTATTCTTTTGTTCCAATTTATGCTAGTTCACGTTCCCACAGCGAAGCATGCTGGCATTGACGGACTCTCAAGGAGACCTCATGCTGATGAAGATCCAGATGAAGACGATGATCACGAGGACTGGCTTGACCGCTCGTACTCGTTTTCTATGGAAATTCTCAATGACCGCTCACATGTCATTGCGCGAATTGATGCTGATAACCCACACCGCCCGCATGACTCACCCATTCCTAATCCACTAACCCATTGAAGGTACAACAATTCAGATGGTGAGTCTGAACAATGTGTTGGGTCTTGCAGAACCTAGCTGCTATTTGACCCTAAAGGGTTTCTGGACCAGGCTCAAGGCTCAGAGAAGAGGAAATATGATAGAAACTTGCTGATCTCTCAGACTCATACTGGTAACTGGTGAAAAGATAACTTGCTTATGTAAGCTACAAAAGTGCCAACATAAGGTAAGGTAAAAACAGTCTCTACCAGCCCAGCCAGAAATGAATCCCTACACTGTCTCCCCACACTATTTGTTTTGCTAGGTACTGCTGAAGTCAACTCTGACGAAATCCTGCATTCCACATTCTGACGTTGTGAAAGCACAAGACTTAAGGATTCTCATTATCCAGAAATTCCTTGAAGACCGGAAAAGACCACTGGAACTCTCAGATGAAGAATACGACACCCTGGTTAATGTGTCGCGTCAGTACTTCATTCTTGATGGAAGGATGTGGAGAAAGCATATGCAAGGGAAACACCAACTTGTAGTTCCCAAAGCGAAGTGTTACAAACTGCTCAAAGAGGCGCACAATGACCTCGGACATAAGGGAGTATTTATGATCCAAATCCATTTACTTCTCCGATTCTGGTGGCTGCTGATGATTGACGATATCAAATGGTACAACAGGTCTTGCCATGAATGTCAGATCAGACAAATTTGGAAGTTGCACATCCCGCTGATAGTTCCGGTACCTGGAGGAATATTCCGAAGGGTACATATCGATGTAATGATGATGCCGAAAGCCGGAGGGTTTGACTGAATTATCCATGCTCATTGCACACTAACAGCTTATCTGGAATGGAGAATGCTCCGGAAAGAATCTATGAAGATTATAGCATCATTTATCTTTGAAGAACTCTTTTGCAGATGGGGTCTGATAGTTGAAATCGTTACTGACAATGCGCCAGTTATCAAAGCCACGGTAGACAACCTAGTCATGCGATATAACGTTCACCATGTCCGGATATCACCGTATAATTCTCAAGCTAACAGAATCATAGAACGGTGGCACTGAGATGTCCAGGAGGCCATCATGAAAAGTTCTGAGAGGGAGGAATCCTGATGGTATTCACATGCGCACGCAGCCTTTTGGGCCGAGAGGGTAACTATCCAGCAGTCCACCGGACTTTCGCCTTACTTCATGGTACATGGAGTAGAACTGATATTTCCCTTTGACCTCGCCGAAGTGACTTTCCTTGTAGATCTCCCAGATCAACAGACTTTCACGTCTGAAGACTTGATAGCATGGCGAACCTGCCAACTTATGAAGCAACAAGAAGATCTGAGCGGCATCAAGGACAAAGTCATGAAAGCACGATTCCAGTCCATCCGAGAATTCGAAAGGAAGTTCTGAAACACCATCAAGGACCATGACTTCACTCTGGGCACTCTAGTGCTTGTGCGGAACTCCAAGATCGAATATGAGCTTAACCGGAAAATGAAACCAAGGTACCTCGGACTGATGATTGTCCTTCACAGGACTCTCGGAGGTTCATATGTATTAGGCAAGTTGGATGGTGCGATACCCAAGCTTAGATATGCAGTGTTCCGTGTACTTCCATACTTCCCACGAAGCAAAAGCAAAGTTTCCATAACCAGCATCACTGGCCTTGACGAAGAAGCATTGGACAAGATTGTGAATGAAGTGGTAGAAGAGCCAGCAGATGAAGATCGCCTTCACAGTCTTGCAGGTGAGTTCTTCCACCTCTGCAGTCTTCCAAGCGACTTCTTCCGCCTCTGCAGTGGTGCGGGCAAGCTCTTCTGCCTCCGCCGCCTTGTGGGTGAGCGCCTCTTCTTCAGCCTTCCGCATGTGTTCTTCTTCATCCTCAGCGATCCAACATTCCTCCTCCATCTTCTTCTCGTACTCTGCGGCCTCCTTCCAAGCGATGGTGATGGCATCCTGCACGCATGGATACGTGGTGATGCATTCGTCCCCCTTTGCGCCAACAGCGGCAGTCAAAGGGAGGGTAATGTGCCTTTCCAAAGCTTCAGTTTGGCATGCACCAAATTTTTTCTAAGCAAGAATGTTAGCGAACCAAAAATGGAAAGACAAAACCAACACAACAGAATTACTTACCAAGAACTCGTCCCAATCAGCGCACCAAGTCTCCATGTCCAGGATGGAACTGGTGCTGCCCAACAGAATGATGGAAGTGAGCATGTTCAGCTCAGTTAGATGCACATCAAAATTGCACTGTAGAAACAACAAAACTGCGAGGCACGAACAAGGCTCCTGGCTGTATCTGTAAATGTTGAAAGGTTGCACGTTGCCTAGTCTGCTATACTTGAGAAGACAAGTGCATTTGACCCTAAAGGGGAAGCAAGTGCCGCAAGGATCTAGAGGAATGCACTGAAGGCGCTACTGGTTGGCCAATGTGAAGTGCGAGAAAGTGCAGGTGCGCATGGGAAAGTGTGCGCAGGTATGCAGAAATGAGAGAGACTAAGCTTAAGTGATGATATGATGCAAGATAAGAGATGTGAGAGTGCGAGATGTAAGCAAATAGATTTCTACTATGTTCTGCTAGGTAGATAGTGGGTGGTAACCAGTAAGTGAAAGGTGAAGTAAGGTAAGGTGGTTTGGTATGTACTGCTGGCACTTAAATATGGTACCTAAGCACTGTCATGCAGAGCTGAAGCGCTACCGAGTAAGGTCTAGTATGTAAAGATATATATAAGTAAGGGTCCATGATAAAAATAAAGGTGGAATGATATGCAAATAAGAGAAACAGAAATACATGCACTAGAGAGCTTGGTGGACAGTGGATGGATGCTTCTGGATGGCTGGTGCTATAGGGCGCTCAAGCGCAGGAAAGTGCACGCGCATATACATCGTGAAGCACGGGAAGTGTGCGCGCATGGCGCGTGTTGCGCAGGAAAGCTGCACCTCATATAGGGATAGCTGCAGATAGCACACAAAGTGGTGCTGCAAGTTCATGCAATGTACTCCCTAGTGAAAACTGCCATATCAGACCATGAGAGGCATGAGTCTCTACAGTGCAACAGGTGTTCAGCGTCGGGGTTGACAGGAACTTTGAAGAAAGACATGGTTCTAAGAAATGAAGTAGCGAAAGGGAAAGAGAAAGGTAGCGAGAAGAGCGAGAATTTATAGGGAACAACAATTCGTGCCACTCCCAGGACTTCATTGTTCTAGGGTATCCACATTTCCACAATTCCCATGATCCACCAGTACACCAGTTCTTGCATTGTTCCACATATGGAAATCGGTCATGTGCATGCAAATCCTACAGATTTTCGCTAAGTCCAAATTCGAGTATGTCTGACCAGGGATGGTCAGTATTTGAGACCCCTGCAGATGTAACACTCGGGTTGGCGTTGGGCATGTATCTGGTGATAATCATGTTTTATATTCCTTGACACACTTCCGATCTTCCGAAAGTTCCGCATGCTTGTCTGAGTCGTCCGAAGGTCATCCGCCCTTTTCCAAAGCCTTTCTAGCTTTTCTGATCCTCCATACCATGTCCTATCCTTGTCCATTTGACTTCACTGGTGCGTTTTTCACTTGATTATCTGTTATTGATTATGTCTAGGGGCACATACATCGAAAACCCTTGCTAATACATATAGATATGCACCTTGTGCATTATTACAAGTATATCTTCGTAGCGACTCGCCTTGAGTCTTATTACATTTCGGATATCTTATCTCACTACAGTTTTCGCCTATGCAGATTCCAGACTTTCACATTGTAGGATATATTCTGGCTTGCTAGGTACTCGCAACTCACTTCACTTCCTTTGCTTCGAGTCATAGTTAGTAGTAGTCACTTCCGGATCCTAGTACTTCGCACAATCGATCTTTGTCCATTCGGAACGATTGTTTGGCCTCACTGCTGCCATTTTACTATTGAAATCCTTAAGTCTTTCAATGAGCTTTCGTTAGTCATACTATGCAAAGTTCTATACATCAACAAACACCATATTCTCTACCGGAAACCTTGCTGTTTCACCAGAAGCTCGCCGGAAGCTTCACGCAACCTCGGACCTTTGTTTCTTGATGTCAGACCTATACTGGACACTTTGGACAATTCTTCGGAAGTCTGAGCGTATTTGAGGTATCATTCTGTTTTCTCACCTTTGATCTTAACAAGATATCCCTTGCATTTATATCAAGAGATGATCCTACAGGCAGTCTCTTTGGGACGAACATCTCACTTGCACTTTTGAGTCTTAAGGTAACACTCTATGTGATGCTGTTAGTTTTTCGTTGTGCGGAAAGAAATCAGATGAATGATTCGATGATGATATCTGATTTACAAATAGTAAAGACTGATAAGTATTTGAAGCTATTTGGGCTGAAAACCCGAAGGGTTTTTCGACCCGAAACATCATTTTGACCCTGTGCGAAGGAGTCCAGGGTGAGCCGTGATACTCAACTAAATAAGGAGCCCTGTGATGCGTCAGGTTTAGTGTGGACTCCCGAAAAATAGGAGAAGGGTGACGTCGACATACCTCAATCAATGAGGTGGAGGCATGGTGTAACGTGTAAAAGGTTCCAGAATAGGCGAGTCCTGCATGTAGGGAGCCATTATCATTGTGTGTTGTCGAAGGTATCCAGCAAAGGCGTCGCTAGACCATCTTCCAATGGATTTGACCACATCAAATGGAACACATAACAGATATTCCAGAGTACCACCTATGCGCAAGCCATGACCCTTTAGATCCTGCAGTCCATTCCTTCTGATGATCTCCCCAATCCTCTTTATGAAGGCCGTGCGTGTTAGTGGTCTCATGCCTTTGGTATGCTTCCAAGTGAAAAGGTGATCATTGGTTGCTGGTTGATTCACTGCAAAATGGTTAATGAGGGCCACTTTGGGATCAGTTGTTAAGACCATGCACAAAGGGTAGAACTGATTCTGAGGGGCTTGGCTTCAGCTTGTGTGCTGCGCCCCTTACCCGAGTATGTGCCCTTAATTTCAGATTGGTGTCCGAGGAAAGTCCGAAGACATCCGAAGACATCCGAAGGTGCGGGAAAATTCGGAAGGACTTTCCGGATGGGTGCAAGTAACTTCCGGATGAGTGCAGGAAAGTTCCGGAGGAACTTCCAGAAATTACGATGAGGTTTTGTCCTGATACAGATATGTATAATGGCTACTTGGGACTTGTCCTGAGTAGAAGTAAACAGAGGAAAGGCTGCAAGGACAAAGTCCGAAGCAGAATAGGTCCGGAGGACTGCGGGAAAGATCCGGATGAACTTCCGGAAACTACGGAGGATCGGATGAGCGGATGAGCGGAGTATCAGATAAGCAGAGCTCTGGCCTAGGGAGAAACTCCCTAGGCCTGAGATGGATAACAGTTAAGTTGGAAGACTAGAACTGATATGAGGACTTAGAGTGAAGACTAGTGCGAGGACTAATATGATATTCAGACTGAGGTACTACAAGACATATACACGAGTTTATATACTAAGAGAAATAATGGAAGGATCAATAAGCAGAGTCCGAGGCTATGTATGAAGCATATGCAAAGGTTGACAAACGCGAGTCGGAAATGAACATAGGTTAATGGTGAAGGTACAACAATTCAGATGGTGAGTCTGAACAATGTGTTGGGTCTTGCAGAACCTAGCTGCTATTTGACCCTAAAGGGTTTCTGGACCAGGCTCAAGGCTCAGAGTAGAGGAAATATCATAAAAACTTGCTGATCTCTCAGACTCATACTGGTAACTGGTGAAAAGATAACTTGCTTATGTAAGCTACAAAAGTGCCAACATAAGGTAAGGTAAAAACAGTCTCTACAAGCCCAGCCAGAAATGAATCCCTACAACGGATCAGTAAGCATACTGGTAATAGATATAACCGAGGTACCGGTAACAAGGAATACTGGATAGGCTGTGTTAATGTTATATGCATAGGAAATGAATTACAAAGCTTATCATATATCGGATAGGAAACAGATCTATACATTGGATCGGACCGGATCGGATATGGTCCGGACGAGATGCATGGATATATAGGATGTGGCATTAGGGCAACGGGACAAGGATGAATGATGCAGGCTAGCTGCGAAGGATAAGGGATCTGGATGTGGACATGCGGATGTGGATGTGCAGAGGTGCAGGGATCCGGATGGGTACTGGAGACATGGATAAGACATCCGAAGGTCCGGATGAGGCGTGGGAATATTACTGGATGTAGGTCCGGAATACAGGATATGACATCAGTGCCATCTGCCTGATGTGCCCAATAAACGTCCTCACCAACAATTGATGTCTTGGTGCGTGGTAAGTGTATCTTGGAAACTCGAAGTCCATTGCGATCTTCAGCGTCCATTACAATATCAGAATGTTTGATGTGTATAGCTCCATCGAAATTCTTTATCGCTTTGATCATGAATTCTCCCAAATGAGCAAGAGAATAGAATGCGCTCGTTAGACACACAAAGATTGCTGCATTGAGCGGCAGCGAGATGTCGAGATGTGAATGTATTTCGAGAATGATGCTGGTGGTGAATGGGGCTCACTTCACTCGTTTGGAAGACTTTGGAGCATAAGCTATCACACCGTTGAGGGCCACCTTCAGCTGCTCCTGCTCCACTGCCCATGTTTGGCCATGCAGGATGTGCCATGCTCAAATGGTGTAAACGTAGTTAGCTAGCGTTCCCCCTGTGTAAGATCCGGCACAGGTTGTGATGAAAGTAAGAATGGTGCGCGTATCAGCTGGACAGTGTTGCGCTTCTGGTATGCCTCAATCATCACAAAACACATGAAACAATAACAATCCGGCTCCATAACATTCCCTCAGTCCCTTTAACCCAAGCCATGTTCATCACCATCATCACTCTCTCCAAGTCCTCTTCAGTCACAGCTAAAAAACTTCCATCATTGTCCCACGCTGATCTACTCTGAATAGGAAACCAGAGCTTGAGCCTGTCTTGAGCCAGACAATGAGGGTGAAGGGATGACGGAAGAGGTTTGAGACCCGGCTTGTAAGGTTTGGGTTTGGCTTGGGGTTTGGTTAGCAGGGGGCTCTGAAGCAGACCTTAGTTCTCCCATTGTCGTTCGTGGACGTGGTAGAGAGTGTCTGGGATGTTGTCATAGGCTGTACCTGAACAGCTGATATCGGAATCGTCGACAACAGGGTGTGTGACGAGGTAAGGTTCTGTGACCTGTGCAATGGATGAGTTTGTAGTGGCTGGTGAGGCGAAAGGATCGAATATGAAGCAACATAGTGGTTGGGGAATAGGGAGCTCTGTAAGTAGAAGTCGCGCACTGCTGTAGATGCCTCTGGAGAGGGCATCGGCTGGGTTGAATTTGCTGGCAACATATGAAGGGTGGAAAGAGTGTGGATGTGAGAGGCCGTCGATGAAGGTGAAGATGTGTCAAAAGACTGTGTTGACTGCCGTGTTTCTGCTGCGGCCATTGCACCAGCCTTCAATGACACCTTGGTTGTCTCTGAAGATGCGGAAATGCCGTTCTGATCCTCCCAAATGGACAATGTGTTGAATGAGGAGTTCAAACCCGACAGCTTCAGCCCAGGCGATGTCCTTCTCACCGTCAAGTGTTCTCCAGTATTTGAACAATCTCCATGCTCTCCATCAAGAGCCGATAATAATGGCAATGCCGACACCCAAACTGGCGTCTGAAAAGGCTCTGGGGTCATGGAGGGTGCTGATAGGTCTGGGGATGGTTCATCCAATGAAGTGTCTGCTAAGAAGGTCCGACCACCAGATGAGGTCAGCTGCAAGGGATTTGATTGGTCAGCATGGGAGAAATGGCCATTCAAAGCTGATGTACAGCATGGCCTCGAGGGCTGTGAGATATGCATGGCCTCTCAGGACGACGAGAGTGGTATGTAATAGCTTGCCGTATAGTTGCTGCATGTCAATGAGGACATGTGTCTTACGATTTCGCCATGCTTCGATCGCTCGTAAGTATTTGAGCTTCTTTGGTTCGTCCAAGTAGATGACATCACGAGCAATGTCCCACATAAAACCAATGTAAGAATTATGAACATTAAACGGTGCATCTTTTTGCTGCTCCCAGGGTATGCCGAGTTTGTCAGAGGTCTCATCAATGTCTGCAAAGTTGCATGAAATCACCATGTCTTCAGGTGACCTTGGGGATGATCCTGATAAGTCGCAGATGGGATACCGGCAGTCCTCGTCGAAATCTTCCAATGTTCCATCGTTGAACACATGTCCCCCAAACCAAATTCTGCCACCATCTTGGTGCATGCCTTGTTTGACGATTCCATGATGCCAATCTTGTCGTGGAAAGTTGTATTCAGTGATGTGCTCTCTAAGTATCTGGAAAAACAAATGGTCATTGACCCACCTAGACGCGGGACCAATACCTTGATACCTAAATAAATAAAGTCCTGTATCGGCGACAATACCATAAGCTCCGGCCGAGGGACGAAGGCCGAAGGATGTGCACATGTCAATGCAAAACTGGTCATCTGAGATGCGCATGACGGCACCTGGCCATTGGGAGTAATGAAGAGGGATGGTGCGATAAGCCTCTGAAACATCCCTCATAGTGAACTGAGAACCTGGAGGAAGACAGCTAATTGTGAGCACAATAACGTGAAAGGTACCCCAAGTACTGGGAAAATTGTCAGGATTAATGCAAGAATTGATAGATGGATTAGGAAATTTGATAGAAGGCATATGCGGAAATGAAAAATTTTGAATAATGCGATAGTGTCCTGGCCATCCTGGCTTCGGTATAATGGAAAAGGGAGAAGATTGAAATGGTCCGATAAGCTTTTGAACTTCCTCCGATGAGAAAGGACCAATGTATCTATTTTTCCGTAACTCAGATTGAACAATGGATGTGAACTCTTGCTGGTATGTGACAATAGAGTCTTTGTTTGGAGGAGATTGGACAGATTTAATGGTAGGAATATCAAGAGAAAAGCCATGACACAAGCCGTCGGGTATGTGCGAGTATCTACCAAGGAGTCCTGAACAAATGAGCATCAACTCCCATGCTTCCGGCTTGTAAGGGGAAATAGTGTTACACTTTCTGTGCTCGAGGACATGCTTGAGCTCCATGAGACGAAGCGGCGCATCTGGAACAGAAATGATGATGGTCGTGTGTCGTGTCTGGGCAACCTCCTGCTCTCTGCCAGTCGCTGCAAATGGGGCGTCTGTTGTGCATTGTGAGGATCTTGCTGAGATGGGAACAGAGCGTATCAAACACATTGTCCCATGTTTTGAGTGCTTTGCACTCGATGATCTTGTGGGGGTTTCACCCAAGGCAAACTGCGCAAGCGGAGAGGATGTTTCCACTTGTGCCAGATCGAAGATCCTGTCGAGGATGCTTCCTGCTGGAACTGTTCTCGAGAGATGGTGAGCGCTTTCGCGAATCATGTTGATGATCGCAACACTGATTCAATGAAGCATTGTTGAATGTAGCTCCTCGTTGATCAGCCTGATAAGGTTGACGAACGAGGGTGCAGCAGTGAGCGAAGCATGTAGCATGAGGCATTGTGGCATGAGGCATGACACAGGAAAGGTGCAAATTCATGAGATGAAAGACGACCATGAATAGTAGGACAAATGAAGATTTTGTCAGTGTTGCATAACGGTTTAACTCAAAATCACTGACCATATAATCTCTTTGATTGTCTTTTTTGGTATGCTCCTGCCAATACACCCTCTCTCTGGTGCGCTTGAGTACGTTGTCGTTGATGACTGACAAGTCATAGGGACCTGCAGCTGATTTTGCGACGACATGCCAGCGTTTCCATCGTTCAGCTTGATACGTGAGAAGAGATTTCCGCGCTATCGGTGAAGGTACAACAATTCAGATGGTGAGTCTGAACAATGTGTTGGGTCTTGCAGAACCTAGCTGCTATTTGACCCTAAAGGGTTTCTGGACCAGGCTCAAGGCTCAGAGTAGAGGAAATATCATAAAAACTTGCTGATCTCTCAGACTCATAGTAAAACTGGTGAAAAGGTAACTTTCTTTATGTAAGCTACAAAAGTGCCAACATAAGGTAAGGTAAAAACAGTCTCTACAAGCCCAGCCAGAAATGAATCCCTACATCGGGTCCCGCATGGAACGAAATTCGTGAACTTGAATATTTTTCCAAAATATTGCTAGCATCCTGACACGGTCCATTGGCCAGTCCGCTTCTTCTATGACTGTGATAAACCTGGGACACGCCTGACAGAAATCCTCAAAGGTGAGGTCTTCGTCATTGATGACGGATGAAGCATTGTGTGCTAAGGCCGCCGTGATCCAAGCCATGGATCCATCCGCGAGTGTGGATAACACCATCGCGTCGTCCTCGACGACAGCTTTTCTGGTGAGAGCTTCATCTAATCCCTCGTTAGTGAAGTACCATAATTCAATGTACTCGCCCTTGTCTAACTTCCTCATTGCATATGCTGAAGGGGTGATAGAAGGTTCGTCTGGGATGCCGGTGTAGAAACAACAATACTGAGAGGAACAAAGAAATGCTCCTGACTGTATCTAAAAAGTTGTAGGTCGTGCGTTGCCTAGTCTGCGATACTTGAGATGGCAAGTGCATTCGACCCTAAAGGGGAAGCAGGTGCAGCGGAGATCTAGAGGTACGCGCTTCAGCGAAGCGCGAGAAAGCGCAGGTGCGCGCAAGGTACGAAGGCGCGGGAATGCGCGCGCGTATTAGCGCGAAGCGCGGGAAAGCACGCGCGTGTAAGCGGAAATAAGAGAGACTAAACTTATGTGAAGATATAAGCAAGATAAAGGATGTGAGATGTGTTGTGCTAATGAATAGATTTCTACTGCGACTTTCTAAGTAGTAAGTACTAGGTAAAGTTGGGTGAAAAGTAAGGTAAATAATAGTATGTACTGCTGGCGCTTATATAGCGCGCCTAAGCGTGCTCATGCGGAGCCGAAAGTGCTACCGAGTAGGTATGTAAAAATATATATGAGTGAGAAACTATGATAAAAATAAAGGTGGAACTATGCTAATAAAGGAAATAGAAATATATGCACTAGGGAGCTTGGTGGACAGTGGATGGATGCATCTGGATGGCTGGCGCTATAGGGCGCGCAAGCGCGGGAACGCGCGCGCATATACATCGTGAAGCACGGGAATGGTGCGCGCATGGCGCGCGTTGCGCGGGAAAGCTGCGCGTCATATAGGAATCACTGTGGATGGTACACAGAGTGATGCTGCGAGTTGGTGCTGTATACTCCCTAGTGTAAAGCGCCATATCACACTATGAGATGCACGAGTCTCTACACCGGTAGCCTGGATGGGCGTGTATTTGTATTTATGCTTCTTTCTCTCCTCTTTCCAAGCGGTTTCCTCCTCCTCCACTTTCTCCCACTCTAGCCTGTCCTCTTGTTCCTCTTGAATGAGACACTGATGCTCGAGTTGCTCCCTGTCGCCTTCGAGTTGCTCTTGCCAGAGCGCTTTCTCGATATCGTTAGCCGCCTCCCAAATGTTCCAAAGGATCTGCACAGCTTGAGCTTCTGAAATGTTCTTGTTGACTATCTGGTTCCGTGCAGCTGCAAACAGTGCAGAAGCATGATCCAGGCAGATGTTTAAATTGGGGTCATTGCGAATCCTAGGCATATTATTTGTTAGTCAAAGATTATCCTAAGATAAAATGACGAAATGAGAGTATAGTCGAGCAGTAAAGCACTTGTGAGTAGTATGTAGTGGTATGAAGCAAGAAAGATGAAAGTCCAAAAAAGCTGTGTCGCCGCATAGACCCAATTCTACACGCATTCTCGTGCCTCGAACTTACATAGAATATAACTTTTGTATAGCCCACCAGGAATAAACTCTTTACAGCAAGCTAAATGTCGGTAGGCAAGAGCACAGGTCTGGGTAACACATGTGGGTTGCAGGTACAGGTATCCCTGGGGTACAGGTAGGGGTCTGATATTAGAGTACCTGTACTGGTACCCATACCCCTGACATGTGTTTCAGATTATATTAGTATTGATGGTCCATCAAATGAATGAAATTTGGACATATTGTACATGTCAAACTCTATTGTACCAACATCAACACAAAATGCTAGCACTAATTGCACGATTAACACAACCCCTTCACTCACACCATGCACTCTGATACTACTGCTAAACGAGTCCCCAAAGTCTCTGCTAAAGCCAAAGCCACACTAGAAGAGACTGCATCTAAAAAATGCTAAGCTGATTTCAATGGAGATAGTGTGAGGATACAGCCAAAGAAGGTAAAATCAAACCCACCCACTGGAAGTGCTGCGAGAACAGCACCAAAGAACATTGCAGCATTGAGATCATCACCTGCACCAAGTCAACAAGCTGTCGTCCATACAGAGGATGAGAAAGAAGATTTATGTAGCGATAATGCAAAAAATGATGATGTTGAACTTGTGGTGACCGAAAATGAAGACGAAAATGCTGCAGATGAGCTAAGTATGTTCAAAAACCTAGGAAAAGATATTAATTTGATCAAACACCAACAGAATGATTCATGAAAGACTGGATCTCACCCATATATGCTTTCTTTGACCCAATTCCCAAGATTGTCAAGGAGAATGGCCAGCGGGCGCACATCTTTAAGTGCCAGGGCAAGGGTTACAAAACCACAGTGAGACATTACCTCAACAAAGGTGATGCGCTGTAGAGACTCATGCCTCTCATGGTCTGATATGGTAGTTTTCCCTAGGGAGTACATGGCATGAACTTGTAGTGTCACTCTGTGTGCTATCCGCAGCTATCCCTATATGAGGCACAGCTTTCCCGCATAATGTGTGCACACTTCCCATGCTTCACAATGTATATGCATGCGTGCTTTCCCGCGCTTGAGCATCCTATAGTGCCAGCCATCCAGATGCATCCATCCACTGTCCACCAAGCTCCCTAGTGCATATATTTTCATTTCCCTTATTAGCATATCATTCCACCTTTATTTTTATCATGGACCCTTACTTATATATATCTTTACATACCTTACTCGGTAGCACTTCGGCTCTGCATGACAGCACTTAGGTGCTGTATATAAGCGCCAGCAGTACATACCATGAGACACTTTTCACCACCTTACTTCTCACTTTACCCAACTTTACCTACCCACTATCTACCTAGCAGAACATAGTAGAAATCTATTCCTTTACATCTTGTACTCTCGTCTCTTATCTTGCATCATATCATCACTTAAGCTTAGTTTCTCTCATTTCCACATACCTGCGCGCACTTTCCTGTGCTTTGTGCAATACACGTGCGCGTTCCCATGCCTTGCATGCACCTGTGCTTTCTCGTGCTTCGCTTCAGTGCATACTTCTAGATCCTTGCTGCACTTGCTTCCCCTTTAGGGTCGAATACACTTGTCGTCTCAAGTATAGCAGACTAGGCAACACATGACCTTACAACATTTATAGATACAGTCTGGAGCCTCATTCGCGCTTCACTGTATTGTAGTTTCTACAGCGCGCTTGACAGGAAACATGCACAAACATGTTTGATTGTGCTGGGGAGAAGAAGTATTGCAAGCCACTGATGAGGCCAAGGATGCTGATGAAGTGCAAAAGAAGATCATGGGCAGTGTCCTATGAAATGGATCAATAACAGCCTCATTTGAAAGAAAGGGAAAGGGAAAAATAATGTACTCACATTGTCAGCATACCAAGGCCGAGACAAAGTATAGTCAGTTCTAACTTATCTACGCTATCCTCTAATGTGTTGTGTACTAGGGCTGAGATTGTTTGCTGGGTATCAGAGAGTCTGTGGCCATTTGAAATTGTGCTGGACAAAGGATTTCAGTCACTTATGAAAATGGGAAGACCAGAATATTACATATCATCGAAGTCCACTATCTTGAGGGATGTATGGCTTGTTTTTGCACGAACTCAACAATGAATTGCTAAAATGATGATGGTTAGTTTAATTAATGTTCAAACAAAGTATATATACTAAGTAGCATTAAGCACTGTCAGGTGCTAAAGCAAACTGAGAAGTGGAGTGAATATGTGATAACATGTAATATAAGGGTCCATGACAAAACATACAGAATATGAGCATATGCACTGGAGATATGTCAGAATAAATGGAAATATGATGGAAATATGCACCGATGAACCAAACAGACATGGAATGGATGGATGGAGGATGAGCGATAGAACTAAGGATGCATGTGCCAATGCGTGACCAAAGCACTTGTGCACATGAGTGGCCGATAAAGCGCCAAGTGCACTGGAATGAGATACTATAAGTTGCACTATATTAGGAAGTGATTGGGATGATGGGGAATTAGATCTCTACAAGGTCACAGAGATATCAGTCTTTACAATGGCTTGACTAAGACTAATGAAGATCAATGTCTGAGATACTGTTTATGAGCAAATATTCAAGGCATGTTCTTGAGAAAAAAAGCAACATTCAATAGGTTTAAAACCTGCTGCACTCCAACAGAAACATATGTCTATTATGTCAGGATGACGACCACTTGGCTAAACACAATTCTGATGAGATTATAAGCAAATCAACCATAAGCATATGTCCAGGTGTGGTTTCATTAAAAAATTGAATTTTATCATTAGCAGGTTTCAGACCTGCACAGCCCAAGAGACACAGATTTTGACTCTGAAAATCACTGGGAATTTCATCTGTAGTGGGTTTTGAACCCACACATGTGGGTTTAAAACAGATTTGAATTCTGTTGCAGCAACTGTTTGACTAACACCAGTTAGATGCATTTTTAAAGAGACCATTAAGAAGTGAATCTGCAAGGCAAGTCTACTATTCCCTGTTACTCACCATGTTTTCCCTCAGCTAAATAGATGAATTGAATACAGAATGTAATACAGCACTTTCAGAAGTGAGAGGAGAGCAATAAGATGATGAAAGGTCTCAAATACAGCTTGAATCTTTGCATTGAATCTCAGCCTTGATAGATGTGTATTCTTCCTCATTCTTCAGATCATTAGAATCAAACTTGATGTGTAATCTGGTCTTTGTCTTCAACTAAGTTGAAACCTTTGGAGAGAATTAAATTGTTTTTGTACTTATCATTCTGAGTTTGCATCAAGGATACTTGCATTTGCCTCTGGTAATTCTGTAGCAAAAAAAATTCCTTATTTGCGTATGAAACCAACAGTAATATCAATCAAGCTTGAGATCATCAGCGGTAGATGAGATAAATGAAGTAGAGATAGATATTTTACATAAATAATTTTTTGGGCCTGGCTGGATGAGATTAGAATTTGATATCCAAGCTTGAGGAGGCCCAACCCTTGCATTCATACATCATTGCCTTCATCTCAGCCATAATAATTCAGCTCATCACACTGGATGCAGACATCAATTTCTAACATCCCTCTTGGGCCCAATCATATGTGATCCTTCCACTATTACTTGTCACTTGTGGCTCAGATATCAATACCAAAACATCACAAACATTATGGGCTCACCTTGGTGGT